CAATGGAGCTTGGATTTTAATTAGTCGCCGATAGTCTAAGAAGGATGAGGAGTGACCACATTCTTCACGATAAGCAACGAATATCGAAAGTAATTACTCTAGAGGTCTCCTTCATCGAAACCACCATCAAGCTGCTCAACCTTCAAAATGGCCAGCATCAGTCGTAAAATCGGCAACACACATAGTTTTCTCAGAGAAAGGAGCTTCATGGTTTCAGACCCCGGATTCAGTAGTGCTCAAGTTACACAGGTTAGAAGATGGAAAACCCTCACTATTGTATACGCATTCTCATTTGTACGCTAAAATAATACGTTTACTAATGGCATAGAGCTTACATTTCCCCTGATAATTTTGGCGCTTGTATGTTCATTATTATATCAGGCCTTCAGCTTCAAAGCTAGGAGTATGCCTTCTCGATAAACTTGATTACGGATGTGTACATACACATGACATTGTAACATACGTTGTTGAGTTCAATTTATAATTGATAATCCCTTAGCCGGTCCTTCATATTCTCAACCGCCGATGAACTCTTCAACACACCCGTTTTTTCCGAGAGAAGAAAGCAGTCTATGTCGTAGTGAGAAAGGAGTAGAAATATTAGTGACGGTAAACAAAGGAAATCCCATGAGACAGTAATCGTTTTACTCTTGCAAAACGCTCTCAATTTATGCTGAGCAAAACACTCTATGTTTTAATAGTAAGATCAGTAGTTGAAACAATTCAGTGACATTTCACGAAATGCCAAAATTGAAGCCTTTGTCAGTGTTGAAGCTACTCCCATCGTTTGGAAGGCTTCACGTGAATATGTACCATACTGTTGAATTTGTTGTCATTGAATGCTTCATTTCTTCCTTCACGGTAGAGCAGATCTAGCCCACTATAGTCGATCCTGGTCGATCGGGCTGAGGGACAGCCATCTGTTCAGTCGTCATTAGTGCGAAGAAGGAATTACTGCAGATAGTGGTCCTATACCTTGACTTGCTATATCGCTATGAATGTACAGGGTTACTCTCCAAATGGAAGTGTGTAAAGTATGGAACCTTTATAAGTGGTCGTACATACTGCAGTTTCTCAAAAGCCCATTCTTTACTTGAACCAACTTATCATATACGCCCGACTTGCGTTTGTAATCACATTTTTATAGCGAGTGAAATTTTCATTAGCATTGTGTCAAAGGCTCTGGTATATTCTCTTCAGTGTTTCTACCATAATAGAACCTATAACTCAAGAATGCCAACATTTCATCAGCTACCTTCTCTATACTATCATTGAAGGCCTACTCAGCACTGTAAAGCCAGGGTTACAACGCTTTTATTTTTTTCTGGATTTTATTTAATGTGGACGTTCTTCATATCGTTTGTTGCATGCTGTTGTGAGGTAGCATGCATTGTACTGGGGAGAAGAAGCAGTTTCGATCAAGTGACAGCAGTCGACTCGCCGCTTCGGAATGTGACGGTGGAGATGGAGGACTGTTTAATCTGGAAAATCATACTATAGATCAGAGTGCAGCACACATGAAGCGATAACAAAATTCTAACCGCAGAACTTTGAAGTAATAGTTGGCGTCTCCAACAACCACGCGGCTGTATAGCTGTGAGACTAAGCAAAAGAAAGCTATCGCCTGTACAACTCTCATTACCTGCAAATGCAAAGATGGAACCGATTCAATGAATTGGACTATCAGAAGTTATGATGTTTCTCGAAACAATCTAATTGAGTACGGATTCATGATTGAAAAAGTCACAGAGAAGTTTCCTAAAGACACAAATTCGACATTAAATGCATAACATGCTGAAAAGCAGTACGATTCTGTTGAAGTTGGCCATATTCAACTACTCGTTTGCCTCTTGTGAGCGCCCTTTTTATCAGGAATGTACTCTTCATTCTATTGCCGTTAGTCGTCCATTAGAGTGAATTCTACAGCACGCAATTCGTACGAGGATATACCGGTCGTCACATCTATTTAGCCACTATTTAAACCATAAGTAATGAACAGTTAGTTTCCGATGTCCATCGACTATGGCGTCAGTCCTAGCAGTAACCAACCAAGTTCACTATTGAGCATGGAAATGAATGGGATGTCTCGTGTCTCTCGAGCAACGACGGACCACTTTGTTACTTTGGTTCACTACACCACACGGACCGAGACTTTACTGACACCCGTCCGACGAATCCGATAGTCAACGGGACAACATGTGATATGGATACGGATCGATTTGTGTGAGGCTTTATTCGATATGTTATCCATTTACCTCAAATAATCGCATGTGATTAAATAAAGCTGACCTATCGCTACCTGTCTCCTTTAGATTTGTTAGACCTGCAATGCCCTGTCTTCTCAGAGATACACTGCAAGCAAAGAGGGCAGTCATTTTAAGAATCTTATGATTGGATCTGACTTTCGAGCTTATACATAAACAACACTAGATGTTTTTTACATAGTGATCGGCAGAGGAGGGCAAATAGCTGGTTCTACTACCAATAAATAAAGACAAAAGTTGGAGTACGCTGACTGAGTTCCCGCATCTGACTTATACTCAGGAACTTCCCAAATGTAGTTCTATGAAATTTCATTTCATAGAACTTTGGATGAGGACCAACATAAATCAATAGAGTTCAGAATGCTGCTTACGGATGTAGAAGTTACAACTGTTGATCGAGTTCTCCCAGAAAGTCATCAGCTCTCAAAATTCGTTTGAAGACAGTATCAGTTGAAGAACGCAGATGTTGGCGGCGGTGGCGCAGAGATAGTGCTCGCGCATTGTGGGTTAACTATCAGCTGTTTTCAAGGATTCGCACAGCGTGCTTTTATCATTTTCTGGCATTTGCACAATTAAGTTTTTTAAGCTATCGTTTACGCTTGGCGCACTTACTAAAACAGGACGTTTCTGCATCCAATTTCTGTGGTTCTTTTTTTTTTGATATGTAAGGATGATATGGTTGTTATATGGTTAGACATGAAGACCAGTCGATAGTGTAACTGCAAGTGTCTACCAATAAGCTGTGAACAATGTTTGATTTACAATTGT